AAATTTATATTTTTTAAATACAGTATTAATATAATTTCGAACTACTTTATTAATTCCTTTTACCAATTAGTAGACAACTTAGGGGGAAAAAAACAGAATCTATAATGAATTAAAGGTATTACTTGTCTATGCCTAACCTCAAATTTATTAATTGTAGCGTGATGTGTAGCCAAAAAATAAGTAGCCAAATAAAGTGAATAACTCTATGGGATCGGCAGTGTAATATTTTCTTTGTTATTAGCTAATTTACAGAAAGGAAGAAAAAAAAAACGCCTGCTAATATATAATCATGTAACAATAAATAATAATTACAATTAAAATTTAAGTCATAAATAGTTTTACCCCTTTTACTAAGTGATAGTAAGTGTTGCAATGGGGTTTGAGAATTGAATAAACAATTTACATTATGGAGAATTTGTTTTTGTATCAGTTACAACAAATCATTGTGAACTAAGTTTTAAACACAGAGCTAGACTTGAGTCAATGAAATATGGAAACTAACAATAAAATTTTAATACAAAATGATATCTTCCACCAGAAAATGTGTATAATTTGAATTAAATTGAGTTAAAATGCGAAGTTTTTAAAGGAAAAATAAATATGGTTTTAATCTCAAAAGTATTCATGATATCCGTTTAAAAATACATATTTTTTAAACCTAGAAAGTTGTCACCGTCAAATAATTAACAAAGTTGCTCAATTAAAAAGAGTGATGAAAATGAAATAAATGAGAAAGAAAAACGAACAATTGGCAGCCACAATAAAGGCATAAAAGACAACGCGCGGAAACATAGTGAAACGCTTTTATGTGTTTAAAATACAAGTTCTTTTAACACCATTAGATCTAGTTGGCGCCTTATTTTCTACTCGGATCTAGAAATCTAAATATTTGTCTACAGTTATAATTGCTACATGTTAAATATAGCTCACCTGGTCTGCAAACACATTCAACGAAAACCGATAAATTGACCGCGAGCGTGAATAGAAAGATTTCCAAAAAAAAGTATCAAACCCCTCCTCCCCTCCCTTGTTTGTCGTTTATTCTTTGAGTGTGAAAAATCAATTCACACTTGAATGCGCCAGCTAATTATGCACTAATTCAACATTTAGTAGATTGCCAGGTTTTCTTAAGTGTCCATGTTGCAGAAATTTTTTTTTTATATAAGGCCTTGTTGACGAACAATTTAACACACCAATTAAAGTATCATTAGTGTCAAGACAAATTAATTGGGCATTTAAAACAAAGTTCGTTCGTTAAAATAAAGGTGTTCTTAGATAATATGTTAATCTCCACATTTTTTTTTAGCAAACTTAAAGCATTCAATTGATTGAATCAATAAATTAACTAATTAATAAGCATTTAAATTCTTTTTTTTTTTTTTTTTTATTTTGCAGATTTAAAATAAGTGTTTATCAATACTTTTAACATATACACTTGACTAAGAAATTGATAGTCTACTACATACTCAAGAAAGTAGGGCCGCCTTTATCAAAAGTTTAACTTAAAATAGATATCAATCATTCAAGGCATTTATTTCGTGTGCAAAGATGAGTTCAGTATGTCACGTTACTACACAGTTGCGATTTAAATGTTTTCATACATCCTATTTAGACAGAACCGTTGTCCGCCTGGGTCTATTTAAATTCTCTTTTCGCCGTCTGTCTTTGGCAAGGGCTTTTTTGTGTGTGTGTGATTCTCACATGTGTTTCTCGACGTGTACAAGAGTTCTCCAGCTGTTTCTTTCAGACATTATTTGCCATTCTTCCATCAACCAGCTGAGTTAATATTTTTTAGTGCTTGAGGGGAGGATACTCTGCTACTCCGCTTACCTTAAAACTCGCCTAAAATGATCTCCCTTGTCACACCATTATCTCCTATACGAGATGTGTGTGAGTCCTTACCCATTGCGAAAATAACAGAATTACTGCTACAGGGGTGAACGACTTTTACTTGGTCCGGCAGGTTTTATTTTTTACTTACCCAGTGCAAAAAGAGCAAAGATTATCTGCTGCGCTCCTTGGTCATGACCACATTCTTATACACTTGCGAATCTTGGACGCTACCTGCAGAACTAGAGAAGAGTATCCTAGCAATGCAATTGAGATGCTCCAAAAAGATCCTATGTTACACATACAAAGACCCCATTTACAAAAAAAAAGAAAATAGAGACAGGATTATAACGGCAACTGAGCCCCACCCACGACCTGCTAACTATTGTAAAACAAAAAAAAACCCCGCAAACTAAAACTTTATGGTCCTATCACAAAATCCTCAGGACTCGCAAAGATCTTCTCTTAGGAAATGTTATCAGGAAAAAAGAAGAGAAGAGGCAGGCAGAGAAAGCGATGGGAAAACAAAAGAATGGAGCGGCCTGTCATTGAAAGAGTTTCTATCCAAGACAAAAGACAAGGGAATAGAGGAAGGTGAAGAGGAATAACAAATCTAATTCATATTTAATTCAAGCTAATTAAGGTCGCACAAGTACTGTAATGGAGACGCGGTGGGAGAATGGTAAAGCGCTTGGCTTCCGAAACGTTCGAATTCTGGTGTAGACTGGGATTTTTTAAGCTGAGTCCATCCAGCTCTAATGGTATCTGACATTATTTGGGGAAAAGTAAAGGTCCATCCAGCTCTAATGGTATCTGACATTATTTGGGGAAAAGTAGGGTCCATCCAGCTCTAATGGTATCTGACATTATTTGGGGAAAAGTAGGGTCCATCCAGCTCTAATGGTATCTGACATTATTTGGGGAAAAGTAAAGGTCCATCCAACTCTAATGGTATCTGACATTATTTGGGGAAAAGTAAAGGTCCATCCAGCTCTAATGGTATCTGACATTATTTGGGGAAAAGTAAAGGTCCATCCAACTCTAATGGTATCTGACATTATTTGGGGAAAAGTAAAGGTCCATCCAGCTCTAATGGTATCTGACATTATTTGAGGAAAAGTAAAGGTGGTTAGGCGTTGTGCTGGTCACATGACACTCTCGTTAACCGTGGGCCACAGAAACAATAACCTATACATCAGTCATGTCAAACATAATGTTCGGGGGCCGCGTGCGGCCCGCGATCACTCTGCATGCAGCCCGCTTGGCCACCTCAAAAAATTATCATAATAATGTTAGACTATTACGTTGGAAAATAGAGATGACAAGCTACTTGAATTGAAAAATAGTATTTGTTAAACTGAACAAATAGATTGAGTCTGCAGTGTAAGCCTGCTACATTTTGTCAAACTTAATTGCAAGTCATAGCAAATCAATTTGTGAAAATGATTTTATGAAGGAGTGTGACGAAGTAATTTGTCCAGAAAAGGTGAAAGCATTCAAAGACATTGCGTTAACTAGAAACACTGTTGCAGAATAAATGACATGTGCATGTCAATCAGCTTGTTGAACAATTATAGAAAAAAAAAGTTGATTTTGAATTCTTTTCATTGGCTCTCGATAAGTCAACTGATGCAACGGGTGTAGCACAGTTGGCTATATTCATAAGGGCCTGTGACAGAAATTTTGAAATACATGAGGAACTACTTGAGCTCTGTTCTATGCTTAACACCACAACAAGCGAGGAGGGTTGTTTTTTTTTTAGAAATATCACATTTTTTTTTTTGTAAAGCAGTTAGTATAAAAACGGATGGCGCACCAACCATTATGAAATTGTTTTGATGCAAAACTGCTTGCAAAAAATAAGAGAGAGTAATGCTAATTTTAAATTGCTAATTTACCAACAAACATAAAGCGCAAAGCGATTACAATTCCAATATGTCGTAAGGCTGGTTTTAGTCAATATCAATTGTAGTCGTGCCCGTGGATCCCCAATTTTCAATGTTTCTAGATAACATTGGACACGGAGTTTGCTGGCTCTCCAGTCATAAAGTATTAAAGAGATTTTTTGCACTGCATGAGGAAATTGTATTTTCTCTGAACATGAAAGGTGAACCTGTTGAACATTTCCAAAATGATGAATGGGTTTAGGATTTGGCATTTGCAGTTGATCTCACTGGTCCCTTTCAAGACTTGAATTTGAAACTTCAAAGTAAAGACAAAATTGTCACAACTGCGTGTGATCATGTGAAATGCTTTCAAGCAAAATTACGTCTGCGGAAAAACCAAACATGAAGAGAAAATCTTGTTTACATCTCAACGTGTCAGGAACTAAAAAGATTAAAATAAGGCGGTAACATTTGGTAAATATGTCTTACACCTGGAATCGTTAGTAAATGCTTCCATTGACCGTTTTCATGACTTCGTTTCATAGGAGCAAGAATTTGTGTTGTTTTCATCTCCACTTTCATTTGATTCTAAAAATGCTGCTTATAATGTGCAATTAGAGGTGATAGAATAGCAGAATAGCAGTTAGATTCTTTGTTGAAAGCGAAGTGTATAGATGTGGCTGCGCCAAAATTTTACTGTTATTTACCGGAATGGTACGTTGAATTTGCAGCCAGAATTCTTGATATGTTTGGAAGCACTTATCTCTGTGAGCATTTCTTTTCTATAATGAAAGCTACCATAACACCTCATCGTTCGAGGTTATCTGATCAAAATTTGATGTCAGTGATGAAAACAAACTTCTACCTGACATTAATAAACTTGTATCCCAGAGAGGTATCAAGCATCAGGACAAAGAAGAAAATGCGTAATCATTGTCATTTTTAATTACCAAATTGTACTACAAATTAAGCTAACTAAGGGACATGTATGCCATTAATTATTGTATTCTATTGTATTGTTTCTAATTTACATGAAACTAGTAGGATGTTTTGCAACTGTTTTTGGCTGCGGCCCCTCAGGTCATAATATATTTTTTATGTGGCCCATACTCCTTAATGAGTTTGACTTGCCTGTTATACATAATCTGCCCTATAGACCACAAGGTCTGAAAGGGAAACTTAATTGTTAACTTCTGGTCAGAAACAAAATTGTGAAGTTTTACAAACGGCAAAATAAAAACTTCAGACAATTGAAAATGTTTAAAGAATGTTTCAACGTTTTACTTTTGTTCATAATAAAATTTTATTTATTCCATTAGTAAGTGTATATGAAAATTTCAGATAAAAATATGTCAGAAAGAATGAATGCACGATATTATAAATAGAATAATAAATAATAATGCTTTTTGGCTCAATAAAAAGAACCACAAAAATTATTAACAATGAAGAAAAACAGTAAACGATTTAGCAAAACAATTCTACAGTATCAGACCTGATAACCATGATAAATACACAAAAATATACATATAAATAACAATCAGCGCATCAACAGAATACAGGACATATAGTCGCAATGTATCAAATAAATGGTTGGCGCAATGCACATACAAAATTGGACGACATAAGACGCATGAAATATTTTTTTATTTTTTAAAAAAAAGCTCATCTAGGGGGAAGAACCTGAAAATCACTGCATTATATCTTAATACTGCATAGTTTAACTTTCCTTTTCCATATAAAACTAAATTAATTAAATATCACTAATTGCTTGACTAAGTTTCAACTTGATTCGAGAACGCGTGTGGAAGGGAAAAAAATAAATGTACCAGATAGACATACGAAGGGAGTGAACATAAGCTTTGTAAAAACGCTACGAATCCTCTCCTAATCATACAGCGAGATACCTTACATTTTTAATGTCAGTGTAAAATTAAAGACAACTGCGGCACCTCTCTGAATAAGGTGTAAAGGTCTAAAAAAGATGTGGAATGTGTCTTTACTTCATGTTGGAAGATTTTAGTTTTCTGGAATGCTTTTCGAGAATAATTCGTTGAGACGATCATTTCTCAAAGCAAGTTCCTACGAAAAACAGTTAGTAGGTATCCCTTTGTTAGAAGGCAACTGACCTAAATAAAATATTGTAAAACAAAAGAGGTAGATTCAATCTTGTCGTCTGCTATTGTTTCTTACAAAAAATAAAGTCAAGCAACAGAACTAACATACAGTATAACATATCCTAGTATAACATTATCATTTAGTATAAGTTATGATATATAGAATAACTTTATCATATTCAGACCTACATATAGTGTAAAACTAAACTACAAAAGAGGTAGATCCAATCTTCTCGTCTGCTATTGTTTCTTACAATAACTGAAGTCAAGCAACATAACCAACATACAGTATAACATATCCTAGTATAACATTATCATTTAGTATAATTTCTAACTTATAGTACAACTTTATTAAAAAGTATAACAACAGCATCATATAGTATAGCGTATAGTGTAACATATATGGTAAAGAGCACACACACACGCACACACACATTTCTTCTTCTTATTATATAGGTAAGATGTGAAGAAATTTTTATCCAAAATATAAAACCATACAAAATGTAAATTTATTACTCTAATCATATTCAACATGGTAATATCTACGCAAGAAGGAAACAGAATTATACATATAATAAGTGTATAGATTCAAAGTATAAAGCTTTAATTCAAGCAGTCGTTTTCCTTTTAGTTATATATAAAGTACAAGCAGAGGCGTATCGAAAGAGGGCACGATGCCACGGGGGGCGCCACACGCAGCCTAAATTTCTTTGTGATGTTCATAGAAAATGGAGGGGAGGGGGATGCGGGGGGGGGGGGGCGACGCCAGTAAAGTACCTTTACCTCGGGCGCTCGTTTTGCTCTCTACGCCTCTGAGTACAAGTAAACAGAAGGTTTGTTCATTAATAAAGAGTTAAAATTCTGTGTAATACTTGTACATCTATGACCAGCGTTGTAATACACTTTAAAATTGAACAATATCAGCTTTATTTGCATTGTCACCTTTGATCCACGAGCTCTTCATTGTGAAAACAAAAATATCGAGAGTTTACAAGAAAACTAACAGGACATTACTTTCAGTGCCAGAATCAATGTAACATTTTCTTAAAAACTTTGAGCAGCAAAAGTAACAGCTCACAAAAAAAAAAGAAAAAAAAAAAAAAAAAAGACATTATCATTGTCCACGTATGCTATCACAGAAAAGTTTGGTGCCTGAAAACCTGACGGAATAGCCTTTGTGTCTCGTAGTTTGGTTTAGGTAAACCTAAAGTGTTCCTTGATCCACAACAGTAGTCGATAGGTAAACTGTACAAATATTTATGGGAGATGGAGGATGCTCCTTCCATTATTTGCACAGCTTACATTGATCAAAGCGAATAAGGTCGACGCATGTCAACCGTGAGACTCGTAAAACAGCAGACGTTTTAACGTTCTCAATTTGAAGTTCAAGGGCATTAAGCTTGGGGCTAAGAATTTTCAGTTGTCGTCCCTTGAGTCTCCTAAACGTGATTATATACCCTTGCACAAGTGTAAATATGTGCTACAATAGTCGGGCTATGTAATACATTCCTATTGATAAAAGAAGCACAGAGAGGAACTTCGAGGGTAAGGATCTGAAAGCAAGCAAAAAGTTTATAAATTGGTAAATAACATAAATGCTGTAAAAGTATAAAAGTATTAAACAAATAAAAAAAAACTTATCTAAAGGGGAAGAATTCAGCCCTTAAAATTATATCTATCAGTAATGTACAAGCTATTTCCCTTATTCGATATCTAACAAAATAATGAATTTTCAATAATTAATTGAGTAATTTTGTTTATTGATTTTTTTAAGTACAACCAATAATTGTTTAAAGTATCAACTTGATCGGAGAATACGTGAGGGAGAAATAGCGTTAACAATTCTTTAAGGGGACAAAACCCAACAAATTTAACCATATCAATGAATACTGAAGGATTAGTTTTCCTTGATCTGAAAAGTGTCATCCACACCCGTTCATACCATAGTGCGGACTGCAACTAGTGCTAAGCAAAATCAAACTACTTCTCAAGAAGGCTTATACTTCCACTCAACCCAGAACTAGGCGAATTAACGTCAACCATGTAGGTGACCCAGAGAAGTGTGCACTCTTTGGAGAGCTCCTGAACATTTCAATCCCCTCGTTAAGTGATGAAGAAGACATTTCTATCTGATGGGAGAAATTAAGAGATGTAATCTACAGTTCGGCAATCACCCCCTTTGGGCCTCAAAAACACAAAAATGTAGACTGGTTTGAGGCGAATCTAGCACATATGGAACCTTGCATCGAGAAAAAGCGATCTGCACACCTCGCTCACAAGACAAAGCCAAGTCCAAGATCTTTGGAGGCCTTCAAAAGTGCTAATAAAGAGGCGAAACAAATGGCTAGAACAACTTTTGGAGGGATACCTGCAACAGAATCCAAGACAGTCTCCACTCAGGAAATAGCAAGCTCTATTTGATGGCATTAAAGCGGCCCTGGGTCCAATAGTGTCTAAGCCTGCCCCCCTTCTATCCAAATCAGAAGAAAAAATTACAGATCAAACCAAGCAGCTAGAACGTTGGACAGAACACTACCTCGAAGTCTATGCCACACAAAACACAGTAGACAATGTCGCTCTGGCTTCTCTACCAGATCTTCCAGTACTGGAATGCCTAGATGATCTTCCGAGCCTCAGTGACCTTAAAAAAGCAATTAACTGCATAAAAAATAGAAAATCTCCTGGGAGTGATGGTATCCCAGTGGAAGTAGTGAAAGTCAACGAATCACTCCTGCTCCCTGAACTCTATATTCTCCTCTGCCGCTGTTGGGAAACAGGTCATTTCCCACAGGACATGCGTGACGCAACTATAGTCACAATATACAAGAACAAAGGGGATCGGAGTGACTTCAACAATTACAGGGGTATCTCTCTCCTCAGTATAGTGGGCAAGATCTTTGCTAGAGTGGCACTATCCAGGCTGCAAGTGATAGCTTCTAGAGTCTACCCAGAGTCTCAGTGTGAATTCAGGAGTGGTAGATCCACTGTAGACATGATATCTTCTCTACGACTACTGCAGGAGAAATTCAGAGAGAGAGACAGACCCCTTTACATCGTTTTTGTTGATCTGACTAAAGCTTTTGACATGGTCAGCAGAAGTGGCCTTTTCAAACTTCTGAGGAAAATAGGTTGCCCTCCCAAACTACTGCAGTTCATTGAGTGTTTTCACGAGGAAACTAAATGCACTGTCAAATTCAATGGAGCCCAATCAGCACCTTTTGAGGTTTGCAGTGGTGTCAAGCAGGGATGTGTGCTCGCACCTACTCTGTTTGGCATATTCTTCTCCTGTCTACTGCATTATGCGTACAACGACATAAACGAAGGTGTGTTTCTCCATACAAGATCCTCTGGAAAACTATTTAATGTATCAAGGCTGCGGGCAAAAACCAAGGTTAGGAAGCTACTTGTCAGGGAACTCCTGTATGCTGATGATGCAGCTATTGTGGCTGATTCTGATATTCAGCTACAGTGCCTGGCTGACAAATTATCTGCTGCTTGCCAGAAGTTCGGCTTAAACATCAGTCAAAGCAAGACTAAGATACTTGTCCAAAACACAAACACTGCACCTCAAGTAAGCATTAATGGCCAACCACTAGAAATTGTTGATCACTTTTGTTACCTTGGCTCCATCATATCCAACAACACTACTGGATAAAGACATAAACAACAGGATAGCCAAGGCAATGGCCACCATGTCACGGCTGCAGAAAAGAGTCTGGGACATCATATTGCTGACTAACAGTACTAAAGCCCTAGTCTACCGGACCTGTGTGTTGAGCACCTTGCTGTACGGAAGTGAAACATGGTCAACCTACTCATGGCAGGAAAAAAAGCTGAATGTTTTCCACCTCCGATGCCTAAGGCGGATCTTTAAAATAAGGTGGCAAGATAAGATAACCCATGAGGAAGTGCTACAAAGAGCAGGGTGCCAGGACATCCGCTCTGTTATCCGCAGCAGACGCCTTGGCTGGCTTGGCCACGTTCGTAGAATGCCAGAAGGTCGACTTCCACAGGACATCCTGTATGGCGATCTAATAGAAGGCAGGAGAGCCGCTGGTCGCCCACTATTACGTTATACGGATGTATGCAAATGCGACATGAAGCTCTTCAAAATCGACACTGGCAACTGGGAAGAGGTGGCACTGGACAGATCCTCATGGAGAGAGAGCATAAAGGAAGGGTCAAAGATTGCAGATGTCATACACAACAGAAGCAGAAAGAAGAAAATGCAACGGCGCCTGGTGATTATATATGCCCAACCTGAGATCGCAGCTGTGTATCAAGGATTGGCCTCTTTAGTCACACAAGAAGTTGCAAAGGGAAAAGATCGTCTCTCGTGACGTAAAATGCCACAGAGTTTTCCTTGTTGGTATCAAACAAAATAATCAAGTACCAGTGATTATTTGTCTGATTGGTTACTTTAAAAAAAATTGATTTATGTATTGTCTATGCCAGTGACAAATTGAGCAAAAGTTTCCACTTGATCCTACAATGCATTTGGGAGAAATAACATGTACACACTTTTTTACCAGACAGACTAACAGACACAATTAGTTGATAAAAGCTTTGTAATAAAATGTTTGAATTCTAATTAGTCATCTGCTTTCATATTCAATTTGGCCTCTAATTTTATATGATCACTATTGCTCGATGTAATAGCAAGATTGCAATTTAATATTCATTTATTATCATTACCTGTCTCCGCCGCTACATAACTCGTGAAGCCAATCTGGCATCCCCGGAACTGGCTCTTTATCAATTATGTTTCTACTGTCTATATCCATTTTGACATGACTGTGAAATGGAAATAAAAGTTGTTTTTATAACACTTTCAGAATTAAAACAACAACAACAAAATCTATATAAAGGAAAGAACTGCACAACCATCCCTTAATACAGCAAGATTTAATTTCCAATTTCTACATAAACGCAAATAATTTATTACCACGAATTCATAGATTGTTTTATTTTTTTAATTGATTCATATATTGTCTTCTTCGTTTTGAAACGTTTTAACTAGATCTCACGGTACCCACCGCCATATTGACCTCCTTACCTGTCACGTGACACAATATAAATGTAGCCATCCCTCCATTGAGTGGCGAGAATAACTTTTTGGGGAAAGCCATGAGCGAATTCATGAATGGAATTAATGATAGCTTCGCCAGACTCCCGAAATAGCCACCATTTTGAGTCCTGTGTCAGCAAAGAAAATAAACACTTAGAATTAATCAATTCATTTAACTACAGACAATCTTGTAAACAGTGGGGTAGCTAGGGATTTGGGGGGCCGGGTAGGGCTGGACCTCTCTAGGGGCCTCTTCATTTTGACATTTGACATGAGATAATGGCGTAATTTTTAATGTAAAAACGTAATTCGGACACTCATTTTGGGTGTCCGGGGGATTTTCAAATTTGGACCTTCTAGCTACGCCACTGCTTGTAAACGAGCATCTTAAATTTAAGTTTAAGATTTAAAAAAACAACAACAACAATGAACACACAACTACCTAGCAATCGACCTAATTCCCCAATGGTAAACTAACAACATTTAGCCACGTGATTCTCTAAATCTTCTACAAATTACGCAATACACACAGGCTGTCACGTGATACGTCTTTTTCGTTGTTTTATCAATATTATCACGTGGCTAAATGTTGTTTGTTTACGATTGGCGAATGAGATCCATTGGGCTCCAATTTAAATACATTGACCAAATAAATTTACTATAGATCTAATGGCGATTTTTATAATTAAGTCAATAACATGTTAATAACATGCAGTTATCTCCGCTTGTTTAGAAAGTAAGAGGGAAAAAAAAAGAAGAGAAAGCACTTCAAATAAATGTCGGGATGATAAAATGAAATTTAAATAGCCAAAAAAAAAAAAAAAAAAAAAAACTAAATAAAGTAAATAATAAGGGACAGATTTAAAGAAATTTTAAAATAATAAATGTCAAGGATGTTGAGTTGAAAGGTCAATGTTGCCAACTAGAATATGAATTTTTTTTATGCCGCTAACAGAATTTGATTCGCTAGTCCTAAATGAATAAAAATATTTAAATACATAGCTTATCCACACTTTTGTATTTTTATACATCTGAAACAC